TAGGGAAATCAGCCAAGTAAAGCTATTCAGAGAGGAAACCAGATTTTACTGTCTTGGTCCTTTTGCCAGGCTGACAAGAGCCTTCAACAAGCATAAGGGCAGAATAGAGACAGGGCCATGGGTGTGTGTGAGACTGGGCTCCTGGGCTCAGAAAATACTAGCACTGATCACCTCCAGGTTCCCCAAGGAGAGGAAGCCCCTTGGGTGGCTGAGTGCTGCCTGGTATAGTTTAGGAGGCTTCAGAGGTAAATGCAGGACAAAAGGGCAGATGGAGGCCTTGGTCTTGCTAGTTGTCCCCGCCCCCCCCTTCCCCTCCCTGGGGGCAGAGCCAGGGGGCCTCGGCTCCAGGCTCCAGCCCTTGCTAGACGTGGGGGACCCACCCGGATTCCTGGCAAGACAACCGCTCCTGGGATCCTCGACCTCTGCCTGGCCTCTCTCCGAAAAAGAATCTCACCCCGTAGGTTCCCCATGTGGGTGAGTCAAAGGTGAGCAGACAGCCTTGATCTAGATCAGGAATGGGGCTGGTCTGGACTACATGTTTTCAGCCTGATTCTCCAGCCTTGCTGGAATTTAGCCAAAAGATAGAGAGGACCCCGGCTGTGTGTGTGTCCCAGCCAGGGCACCGTGCCACCATTGCTCGTGACCAGTCACAGCTCCAGGCTGCGTTCCGTTTGGTTGCCGGAACCAGCTAGGAGGAAAGAGCTGCCAGGGAAGGGCTGTCTCAGTCTCCCTGGAAGAGGCAGGCAATGGACGTGAGCAACTAGACAGCGGCTGGCTTGCAAACCAGGAATCGGGAACAGCAGCAAGGTGCCCTCTGACGCAGGTGAGGAAGCTGGCCGGGGGCTGGACTGAGCTGGCCCTCCCTCCCCTCTCTGACCTGGCCTCACTCACAGCCAATTTTTTTTTTCTGTTCTACTCCACCTCTCCTCCCAAATCAATGCAGGTCCTGTTTCTTCCCAGGAAGCCCCGTTAACACCGACTTCAGCTGGTTTCTGTGGTAACTCTGTCCCCGCGATGCCTGTGCGGCCTGGCTCCACAGCTGGTACAGGATGGTAGCCCGTCTGTGAAGGTGGGGGAATGGCAAACAGCTTCAGCTTGTCTTGTTTCCCTCTGGGTCTACTCTGTTTCTTGCAAGTGCCCCCGAAGCCTCGTGTCTGTATGTTTACCTCGTCCACCATTAACGCTGTTCCTTAATCTGCTCACAGAATTCCAACCCCCAAGCCTCCTCCACAGCACACACCCTTCCAGAGCCGTCAGACACATTCCTGCCTCGTCCAGGTCGCAGTGGGCCCTCTCGGCCAAACTCATTTTATAGCAGAAGAGGACTTGGGATCCCAAGCTTCGTAAACGGTGCAATGGGCGGCGGGGCGGTGGGGGGTGGGGCGGGGCGGGGGGACCGCAATTAATGCTGTTAAAACAGAGCACTAGAGATGGGTCTTTTTACTCCAGGCCCTGATGTCTGGAATATCAAAGAGCAGCAGAGATGGACTAAGCTGCCATGTCCTCTACACAGGAGAGGATTTATTAATGGGCTCCCAGGAGATGGGGGTGAGCCCCCGGCCGGCCCCAGTCCCTCACACGACTGATAACCTCCACCTACTCAGCCACGGCCAGACACACACCATCTAAGCTAGGGCCAAGTATTTCATTTCCCCTCAGAACACAGGAGGGGGTGAACCCTCTCGCTGAGTCTGCAAACTCTTGGAAAGAGCAGAAAGCACAGGTGCAGAAGCTTTTGCCTGTTTAATGGTAAAGAGAAAAGCAGCGCCGCGTTAGGAGCGCGAGAGCTGGAGGCGGGCACGGTGGGCAGCACCTGCGGCAGGAAAGGACGTTAGTGGAGGTAGATTACGGGAAGGACAGGTGAGTGCTGAAGGGTTTCTAAGGGGCTAGCGACAGTTCCACTGCGCTTCTTTGCGCGTCCTGTACTGTAGACAGGCGAGGCGGTACCCACCCTGGGGCAGTGAGACGGAACCGAACTGGCTGAGGATGGAGGAAACACACAAGCTCCCCAGTCCCTCTCAGGGGTGCAGACAGACAGAGGCAGAGAGCTCCATATATACAAACTTCACACAAAATAAATAAGGAGCTGTCATCAGCTTGGCTAGGTCTCACCCTGGCTTCCTCCCATCCCCGTCAGCAGCGATTCCAGGGCATTAGCCAGGAACCTGCCAAGCCCTAGGGGTCCACCTCAGTCCCAGCAGCTCCTCGACAGGAAGAACCTAAGCCCCGTTAGCCCTGAAGCCCCAGTCCTGGGGGTCTCTGGAGTGGCTCAGGGCCAAGTGCCAGGAGAGCCCCCCTAGAGCTATGTGAATTGCCGACTGAGCGCCGTCCGCCGTCCGAGGGCAGAATCCCAGCGGAGCCCCTCTGGTCCCCAGAACCCTGGCCCAGTCTCAGAGCAGACTCCGGGCGCCCCAGGAGCCGCTCAGGGCCGGGCGCCCTGCTCCATCTGCTGGTGCTGGCCCCGCACAGCGAACCTGCTGACGTGCACGGGTATGGGCACGACAATCTTGGGGTTCCTCACAGGCTCCCCAGAGCGGCCGCTCACATTGCCAGCCTTGATGCGCTTCCACTTGGCCCGCCGGTTCTGAAACCAGATCTTGACCTGCACCTCACTGAGCTTGAGGGCGTGGGCGATCTGGGAGCGCTCTGTCAAGCTCAGGTATTTCTTGCAATGAAATTCCTTCTCCAGCTCCAAAAGCTGCTCGCTGGTAAAGGCTGTGCGGCGCCGCCGGCTTTTGCCCCCGGGAGCCGTGACTCCCGCCGCCGCCGCCGCCGCCGCCGGCGCCCCCTCCTCAGCTCCAGTCCCCAGGCTTCCCGTTAGCTTTGCTTTGGGTCCCAGGAGGGCCCCAGGGCCCCCTGCAGAACTGTCCAGGAAACCGTCGTCCTCGCTGTCACCGCCCGAGCCCCCTTCGTCCTGCTCGCTGCCTGCTGGGTCTCCCGCCGGCGCCTCCGGCTTCTCCTCGTCCGAGCTGTACACCTTCCCCTCTGCTGGGGGGAGTGAGAGCCAGCGGGTGGGGGAGAGGCGAGGAGAGGGCGGACGGGTTGGAGGCGGCACGTGGGACCGTGGCCAGGCGTGGACCGCACGACAGCGGGAGGAGACACACACGTGGAGGGGATGAGACGGGGCGGGAGGGGAGACATCCGGGGTGGGGGGGTGGGAAGAGGTTCGGGAAGACAAAGAGATGGGAAGAAAGGTATTAACCAGCACAGACTTCACTCCGCGAAGTGGGGGCGGCAACGGGCGTGGATCAGAAGAGCACCGTCCCCAGGACTGACCGCCACCCCCCAACCCCTGCGACCTCGCTTCCCCTACCCCCTGCCTTCCGGCCCTCTCCAGACCCACACCGGGGGCTTGCCACTCACTGGCGGCCCCTCCAGACCCCGACGGCACAGCCGCAGGCCAGAGGGAAGCAGTGTGGAACCTGGCTTGGGGTCCTTTCAGTGGCTAGAGGCAGGAGTGAGCAACGTCGGGGAACTCACTTTTGCAGGAGGGAGGGGGAGACCACAGCTGCAGCCTTTGCTATTTTCCTAGGACTCCTCACTGGCCTAGTGGGAAGAGATACGTGCTCACCTCTATTCCGCGCCTCCCTCCCTTC